TACTACTTTATGTTATTAATATTATGTAGAGCATAGTTAGTAAATACTCCGTTTAATATATGTACCCGTAAATATTTTATTCGTTTAAACTTTTGTATCCATATTATTGTTAAGTCGTTTCGTTTTTTTCCGTTCATTTGTTGACTCCCGTACTAATACATTTAAAATCCACATAACACGTATAATATATATATTTAATAAACTAAATTATTAACTTTCTGATTATTTATATATATACATATATATATTTATTTTTAAAATAATTAATTTTATATAATTATGAATATTAATGTACTATTAAATGTAACATTGGTTTAGGGATGAAGAAAAATACCCGTACGTATTTTATATTTAACTTTCCCGTATCGTATTTTACTAACTATGACATAGAGTAACTCAACATAAAGGAGAAATATCTTTTTAATAATTTCCCCTTTAATTAATAAAAATTAATTAAAAATATTAATAAAATAAAACATAAGGAAGGTTAATAATTTGACGTCGGCAAGCTCTTCCGTCAGTGTCCCGTCCAAAAAAAAAACTCATCCAATATAACTTTTCATTCGGTCCAAATCCAACATCCATGTAATAATTAATTAACATATTTTCACCAATCACATGGCTCCACGTCAATGGGTAACAGCGATGGGCTGCAACCCAGCCAGCAGCCAAATTTTGCCCAGATAGATATAATTTTTGTACTGTTGCATAAGAGAAAGGTGAACATGACATGTGGGTTCTAATTTAGAAATGACAGTGCACTTATGAAAGTTAAATATGGATTATTGTTGCATTAGAAATATGCTATTTTGCACTACTGTTATATTTCTTTGGTAACGGGCATGGCTCTCAAGCCCAACAACACGTGCCTAAAGTGATGGAGAACAAAAATTATGATATTTTACACTACTGATATTTTGCAACGGGTCGGAGTCGGATAGTGTATATATATTATCTTATCCGAATTAATTTGGATTTTCCATACTCATACCGATATAAGAATCGGGTAGAATATTAAAATCATAGTAAAAAATCACTCCCTACCTCAGGTTAACAAAAAAAAAAAAAATCCCATGAAGTAACTGGATTTTAGCATCCCTGCATCCTATGGATGGGATATGTAGCATATAGAAGTACATAAACCTTCCATTTAGAATGATTAATTTATTGGAGCAAATAGATCATTTGAGCAAATAAGCTTTCGCCTGATTTAGTGTCATTCGATGAGGTTGTGTAAAAAACAACAAATTGGAAAAGTTAAAAATGGAATGATCTAACCGGTAGTATAATAAGTTTGTGCATCAAATTAATTTTATCGTATATAAAACATATATGGAGAAAAATTACTAACAATTCATATTCATATTTAAATAATAAAATGTAACATTTCAAATAACACAAATAATTAACATTTAAATTCACAAAATAAGGAATAAATTATTTTTACATTTAGTAAATTCACGAAAATGATATCATTTTATTTTGAAATCTTAAATCGATCATGCCAGTTATACTGATTATGTTTATGCCAGTTTCATGACCGACAACGGTTGAATCATGCTATCAACATGACAACCATGATAGCAACAAAACATGACCAGATCGCACAACAATTAGTAACCACTATTTTTTGGATGCAAGAGGTGCAACATTTTTCAAACCAAACAATAATATCATATATTCCACAGACAAACTCAAATTGACGGCCGGCAAAAAATAGCAGAAAATTGCACCTCGGCCGTTGCGAAGCCAGGCCAGGTCTCCTCTAGTTGTTAATTACTCTTAGTTGTATGATTTGAGTTGGTTTTAGTTATTGTTTAGGACTCATATTAATTATTCAAAGTGTTATTTTGGTAACTGTGATTGTTAACATTCAATTGAAAAAAAAATTAATTTTATATTAAATAAAATTTGTATCCTTAATAAAAAAATTAGAGTGGTTCAAGAAATGTTAAAAACTTTGTTGATAGATATAGTTCATGTGATAAATAAATAGAAGTAAGAGAAAACTAGGAGAAAAAACAATCTCACGAATCAAGATATAGAATCTCTCTGATTATGAGAGATTTAATATCCACAGATTTTATAGAATCTCTCTGAAGAAGAAAAAAATTAATATATAAAGAAAAAATAGATTTAGCTTTGAAATAACTAAGGGAGTGGTGACCCAAATTATATCTCGACAACTCACTAATGGTTTATATACTTTTGTTTGTGCTGCTCCCATTTTATAATAATGATTTGTGAATAGTAAAAAAAAAATATATGAAGATAAAAATTCAAAGATGGCAATTCAGACAAAGAGAAGACGATACAAATAAATTGGAATCATACACAAAGATTCATTCCATACTGTCACATTCTTGACTAGTTAATGGTAAGAGATTCCCTTTGGTAAGGTTCTAAAAGTGACTTCCAAGTTCCAACTGATCAGTCGACATTTTATTCGGGTTGCGAAAACAGTCTTATATATAACGGTATCTCTGATTGCTGTCTGCATCATTTTACAAAAGCTTAATTATAGCATGTATGTACAAGCCAAAATGGAAATATCGCCCAAGAAGAAAGTATGTTTCGTTTTGGGGAAACAGTGGCAACTGCATGCATTATATGACGAGGCCGGCAGTGGCAGTAATGGAAAAGGAAAAGAAAAAAAAGAAGATGGAAATTAGTAGTGGTTATACGGTCCGGTTCGGTTATATTGGCCCGAATTAATTCGGTTTCGGTTCGGTATTTTCGAGAATATAAGGATAAAAATTGGATTGGATACAGTTCGGTCTTGAACCGGTCCGATCCCAATTCGGTCTTGATTTTAGATTAAACTTGTGGAGATTTGAGTGTTCAGAGGGGGATTTGAGTGGCCTAAGGCCTGAAAGGGCGAGAATGTTAAATTTTGGGTGTTGGGCTCTCTTATCTGGTTTTTATCCGATTTTCGGTCTGCTCCCAAACGGTTTTTTACCTCAAATCTAGGCCCAAAGATTGGATTTGACTGTTTGCTATCCTGTCCCGATCCGGGTTATACGTTCCGATTTCGGTTAAACCCAAAAAACTCGAACCAAATAGCTAGCCCTAGTACCAATTACGGCAATTATGCCAAGAAGAAGACCATATATGATGGCAATGGGTAGATTCATTGGGTATTTTGATCCAAATGTCATAATCCATATAGGTATCAAACTCAAATGAATCCATATATATTTTTAATTATTTTGGGTATGAGTTGGATATCAATTGGATCCTATTTAACAAATCCACCATGAAATCTATCAAACAAACAATGGTCTTTCTCAAATCTATAATGTACTCCAGTCTCCAAACCCTCACATATCCATGATTTTCAAAACCCAAGTTATACTAAAACCTTCCTTTTTTTCAAATCCATGAAACAAACGATCGCTTAATATAGGTGTTTTCATGTTTCAATTATAGTGAGGTACCCATTTTCTTTTGAACTTTGGATCCAATTTAGATCCAAACTATAATTTGGGGTATTGAATGTTCCATAGGCAAAATTATCCAAGCTTAATTTCACCCGTAACAAATTTGGTTTGGGCAATACCCAAACTTAGGGCTGGTATTCGGTAACCGGTATTCGGTATAACCGGGTATCGAACCGATTACAATCGGTATTCGGTATACCGAATACCGGCGGTATCGGTATTCGGCTGCCATTTTCGGACAAACGGTATACCGAATACCGATTGGTTATATACCGACGGTAAATCGGTATACCGAATGCCGAATTACAAAAAAAAAAAAAAAAAAGAGGAAAACGCAGCGTAGTGGAATTGGGGAAGGGGAACCCTAATTGAAACGAAATTGCATCTGATCCCCGCGGCCCGCCCTCCAGCCTCCAGTCCTCGTCTGTCGCTTTTCTTCTCCAAGACAGCCTCCACTCCACTCCATCCGCCTCCAGCCTCCTCAGTCGACGTTCGAAACCAGCCGCCCCCAGTCGAAACCCAGCGGCCAGCGGCGAGCCCCTGCACCCTGCGCCGGCCGCCGAAGGTCCGAAGCGGGAAGGCGGCGAGCTCTGCACCCAGCGCTGGCAGCCAGCTTGCCGCGACGCCGTGCTCCACCACCAGTCCACGCGTCGTCTGTGTTCCCCTTCGCCAGCAGCAGCGCCGAGCGTCGTCTGTGTTCGCCATCGCCCAGCAGGCAGGGGCAGCAGGCCAGCAGCAGTTCCCGACTCCCCTAACTCGGGTCTGTCTTCCTCTTCTCTTCTCGAGGGCAGAGAGTATTTGCTGGTAATTAAAGGCCCATTTCCTCCCCATTCTCAGTTAATGATTCTCATTTTCCAGCCACCATTGATGATGATTCCCTCCCCTAACTGAATGAATGTAAAGATGAAAGCTTTGGTTTGGAACTTGGTTTCTTCGGAAAATGGGTCAGGGACATGTCCTGTGATGTTGGTAATGGCAGAGTGTACAGACAGATAGACAAAAAGACAGCCAGAACAAGTTTACAGTAGCAAAGCTTCGGGTACCAAGAAATCTTTCCAATTTTTTGGGCATTTACAGAGGAGGAGGAGAAGAAGAAGAATGGTTTGTTTGGTTTCAGTAGTTCCCTCCTTTTGAGTTAGATCCAAGAGGTGTCATTGCATAGTGGTAAAACAGAGGAAAAAGAAGGAAAGAAAGATCAAAAAGCGAAATTGTTTCATTTTGTTTGCTCGTGAAGTATAAGCAATCTGCATTCTGTTTTCTATATATACTCAAGTGATTTGCTAACTTTGTTTTGTTGATTTTGGTGAATAGGCGAAGGTAATAAGCTCTTTCTCGAGGGTATAACAGCAGGCAACTCTCAAGTCTCAACAATCAAACACGAATAATTAGAAAAGCAGCATCAGTCATCAAGTAGCATGTAAGTAAGAAGTAGCATGTGTGAATTAGATGACTTAGTGATGCCGTGATTTATGTAAAGAATCAAATTGTTTATGCTTGAGTTTGATCATATATTCATATGATAAGAAGTTCAACATTTTGAAGTGGTGGTCTCGGAACAGTGTTAGATATCCCGTCCTTTCAGAGATGGTTAGGGATATCCTGGCAGTTCCAATCTCCTCAGTTGCCTCAGAGTCTGCTTTCAGTTGTGGAGGTAGAGTGCTTAGTCCGTTTAGGTCTTCTTTGAACTCTAACATTGTAGAGGCCTTGATTTGTGCCGAAGATTGGATACGGTATGAATGTGGTAAGAATTCAGGCCAAGTTGATGATAAAGAAGAAGATCAAGAACAGATTGATTATGAAAGAGGTAATAGTTCTTATTTGTTTTTAGTTATTCACTCACTTTATTTCCAAGATAATTGATGAATTCTAACAATTTGTTTTTTCCCCTTAAATTTAGTCACTAGTACCTTTGAAGCTCGAATGGAAAGTGTAGGTGATATGCCAAGTAATATACCCATTGTGGTTGAGGAGGAGGATGGTGATGGAGAAGAAGAAAAAGAAGAAGAAGAAGAAGAAGAAGACGAAGAGGATGAAGCGGAGGATGAAGCGGAGGATGAAGAGGAGGATGAAGAGGAGGATGATAATGATGTTCTTCTCAACACTTTGAAGAAGCAAGGTTGTGCCGATGTTGGCGGTTCGCGCCATATTAGCGATGGAGGAGCTAGTGGTCAATCTTAGTGGTGTACTTATGCTATCTTTATGTTGGAGAATTTTATTTTAAGTTGGAACTTGTAAGTGTAACTTATGTTGTGAGACTGAGACTATGTTGAATTGTTGATTGTTAGATGATGGAATTTGTGATCTATTTCATGTTTGAGACTATGTACTTATGTAGTAGTAATGCTATATTTATCTACTAACTACTTGTGTAGAAATTAGAATGTAGTTGACATTAATAGTGATGATGATAGCAATACAACTAATAGTGAATTGTTGATTAATAAAACTTGCTAGATGATAGCAATACAATATAGTAATAATAAATAAACAAACAAAATTATTTACATCATTTAATTAAACAACATTCATAAAAATAAAAAGAACAAAAAGCCCAAATCAGCCCACTCGGTATCGGTATTAAGTCGGTATACCGGCTCGAAAACATAACTCAATGCATTAACCGGTATTCGGTATACTGGTATTAATACCGGATACCGACTATTCGGTATTCGGTATACCGGATACCGACTATTCGGTATTCGGTATACCGGATAACATTCGGTATCGGTATTCGGTGGGCACACAATGATATCCGATATACCGAATACCGACTATTCGGTATCCGGTATACCGGATACCGACCGATTACCAGCCCTACCCAAACTTTGTGACCCATTTGTCATCCCTACTTCGGAAAGATTCATTTGCTTTCGTCAAATTCAGTACTATCCAATTGAACTATCTTCCCTTGAAATGAAAATGAAAAGCAACAGACGATATCGGATGAGGTTACCAATTGCCATGAGAAGTGCTTTTATGTGGTCAAGTGAGAGTTGGACTTTAGATGATTGGTCCTTCAAAATTTGAAGCAAAACATTCATAATGTCCTCTTGCTCTTGCTTTGCTATATTTGGATAAAGGTGTTTAATTAGCAATCATCCATCTAAGATAGGGTCAATAACCCTAGCTTGCATAACCACGTTTGGGTCCTTGATTTTTAGTGGGACACGATCTAAGAGGTGAAATTAAGGAGTTTTTTTTTATTTTACATACTTTTTTTATTGGTTGTTATCTTCTTTGTTTTAGGGCAAAATACACCGTTATAGTCATAACTTTCACGTTTTACAAATATAACCATAACTATCGGAAAACACAAAACAGCCTAAAATATTGGATGTTAGTGTGACAAATCTAGCCATTTCCGTTAGAAACTTTAACGGTGTTAGAGACTCCGTCAGTTAAGTTAACGTTAGGCTGATTAGGATGCCAAATCATCGCACACGTAGCGACAACTCAAACACACTTGCCATGTAGATGCCATGTCATATTTCAATAAAATAATAAAAAATAATTCTCTCTGCCACATTGATTTCTTTTGCGTCGCCAGTGGCTCAAGGCCTCCAGCCTCCATAGCTCGCCGAACACAGTAGCTGATCGAAAAAAATAGAAGAAAAAAACCCATCTTTGCGAATCTCTCCATCATAATCTCGACTTCTGCACACAAAGTTTTCACTGGACCAATAATAATTTAAAACCCATCTCTCCTGTTCATCCAAATCCCCCCACATTGAATAACCCATATGTTTGGGGCTGCCATTATCATACTGGAATCAGACGAGACGAGAAGTTTGAGTCAGTCTTGAGCCGGAGTGGGTCTTCTTCAGCAACGACTGCAATGGTGGGCGCTTCTTCTTTGTTTGAATCTGCCAGCAGCAAGGGTGGATGAGTTGTCGGCGGCGCTGGCGGGATCGTGATGGCGATAGTCGACGTCTTGTTGCTGCTGGATCTGGACGTAGAAAATGTGGCCGAGAAACAAGAACGAAGCACCGCTAACCCCCGTCGTCGCTGTCTTCGTCATCGGACCTTGCCGTTGCAGCCTTCAGATCTGAGTTGTCGGCGGTGGTGGCGACATTGTGATGGCGACGATCAACGTCTTGTTGCTGTTGCTGGATCTGGACGGAGAAAATGTGGCCGAGAAACGAGAACGGAACATCGCTAACCCCTACCGCCACTGTCGTCGTCATCGGACCTTGCCGTTGCAGCCTTCATATCTGCTGCACCTCCTCCATCGATTTGTCACCAACCCATATCCCCAATGTCGGTTTCCCCATCTGCGCTGCTGTTAAATTAAGCCCGCTTCCGTCCCTTCCAACAATCGAAGCGCCGTCCCTCACCAACACAGATCGTACGATTTTACTATCTGATGGAAAATGGAAGAGCAATTGAGAAGAGAGGGGAAACATCTTTGTGACGGGAGAGGAAAGATGAGAGAGTGGAGAGAAAAATAAAAAAGTAGATTAATTAAATTTTATGTTTTTTATTTTTTTCTCTATAATCCACGTCGGTTGGTGGGGTAAATCAATCACCAACTCAGCTTCTTTCTTTAGTCCAGTCATAACGTCAACTGACGTCGTTAACAAAATGGACGAAATTGGCTATTTTGTGTTTTCGGATAATTATGACTATATTTGTCACAAACGTGAAAGTTATGGCTATATAAGTGTATTTTGCCTTGTTTTAACTTGAATTTAAAAACATTGTACACAGATGGAACAAGTTCGTCGTGATATATAAAAATGATATTCATTTTCAATATATATCGAGACAAAAAATTTCATACCACTCATACGAGTCGTTACCACCTTGGTTCCACCTTCATTTTTAACTCTAATTTTGAAAAAATCTATCCAGAAGGAACGAGTGTATCATGATCTATTTGATCTAGAAATTTATGAGGAAAACGTTTCAGGACCAAATATACCACCCTGGTAGATGGTGTTAATTGGTGATATACCCAACATTGTTCATACCACAATGATACACTATCATACATGTGGTATAATCTTATGTACTAGCAAGCTATATCATATGTTATAGATTAGTAATAAATGACTCAATTTTTTCGTTCCAAAACATATCAAAGTGGATGTCATTTTGAAGAGCACAATTAATCCGAATCGGTGCAAAAAAAAAAAAAACTACAACTTAAAATGAAAGAGATATAAGCCATTGAAATTAATTTGGAAAAACTAGTTACTTTTCACGAATAGTAGATAAACCAAACATAATAATAAACATAACATCTCCTCAAACGAAAGCTAGTCAACTCATAAGGGTTTTCGTTTGCACGGATCTTGAATACGAGAATACCATGTGCTTCATAAATGAGGTCAGTGAAATTCGAATACAAGATCTCCCTGTTACAGAAGGCTCTGATACCATGTAAAGAACCAGTTGGTCCCAATAACATGAATTGTCGGAAGAGGTTATATAAAAAAAAAATATATGCTATCCGCTCCTATAATCATCCCTCATAGAAGCCATCAAATTCCTTGGAAATTCTTGTCAATGAGTTGATCCAACTAGAAAGTCCATCTATCTATGAAACTCAATAAAGAGAAATATATGGTCGGAGAAAAGAAGCTCGATCGTTAACATGGCTTTGAGTTTCATTCATCAATAACTGAACTCTACTTCTCTGAATTCCTTCTTATTCATGCCTCTTGCCGAAGGCTACCTGACAAATGATTGTACTTGTTATTAGCGACATCATAGCCACTCGGACAAGTTGAAAGGTTAGACTTTAATGAAGATTTGGATATCTGATCATTTTGGAAACCTCATAGTCTCTTATGGGATGAAATCTCTGAATTCTATCCAAGCTGAAGAGTGCGAATGCTAATTACTGACTCAATTGCAACCGTAAGTTACTGAAAGGAAAGCACGTAACCAAAGGGTTTACTATTTTTTTTTTTTTTTTTACAAAAGATAATCATATATTGATTGAACAAAAAGATAGCTACATCCTGGAATTCAGCCAGACTTGAAAATCAAATAAACGACTCATAGTCGGGTACAAAGAAAGGGTCTTCCTAGCCACCAAATGAGCTACCCTATTATTACGCCGTCCTACAAATCGTACAATGAAGCCCAAATTCAAGTCAAAGGACTAGACAACTTCTTCAAGGATCGACCCCACTCGATTATCCCTTGTGTCCCTCCTGAGGATCTTCTCTATGATAACCTGGGCATCACCTTCGAACCTAACTGCAGTGAAGCCAGTATCCATGCACCACTCAATAGCCTCTCGGAGAACAAGCATCACAATCATCATAGGGTCATCCACCTCCGGGAATTGGACCCCCTTCGCCAAAAGAATCTCTCTTGCTGTCGTCATGAGGACCATCCCACCTGCCGAATGAGATCCACTTCTAAGCGCCCCATCCCACATACAAATCACAGAATTCAATCCAGTTGGGTTCGAGGGAGGAGAGGGGGAGCGAGGAACAGGAAGGACCCTATCCACCGGAAGATTAACCCATTCCTGGACCTGTTGGTTATATTGCCGCATCAAAGTGGGGATCCCAAACTGCTTGCCGTCAAAGACAACCCAGTTTCGAGATCGCCATATCCGCCATAGGACGGCAACAACCGACATGATCAAAATTGGCTGATGAATCAAAGCCAATAATTTCTTCAGAAAGAGGGAGAAGGTATGACGAGGCAACCCTTCTCCAAGGTTAGCAAGCCCATAATGATCCCAAAGGGCACAAGCAACCGGACAGTCCAAAAACATATGTTCTAGAGTCTCTGAAGCTGCCCAACAAACTAGCATCTAGGTAAAACTACAACTTTCTTCTCAATCAGGGCCTCCGTAGTAGGTAGAATTCTATGGAGGATCTGCCAGGCAAACACCTTTAGTTTTGGGGGAATATTGGCATCCCATAAGCGGATCCAACTAGCATTATCCATCCAGCTAGCCTGAGCTCTCCATCTTCCTTTTTGTCGATCCAAATTGACCTCCAAATGGTAAGCCGATTTAACAGTAAAAACCCCATCTGAAGTACCAT